ATAGATAGATAGATAGATAGATAGATAGATAGATAGATAGATAGATACATAGATACATAGATACATAGATAGATACATAGATAGATCACTGATAAAATACATAATCTTATTTTTCCATTCTAGGGATTGAACCCAGAGCCTTGAACAGAATAGGAAACTCTTCCGTTATTGATCTACACTCAGCCCTTTTTTCTTCTTTTGTTGTTGCTTGAAACAGGTACATCTCTAATAGAGTAGCCTATGCTGACTAGAACTTGCTAGTCTCCTGTCCCAATCTCTTGAGTTCTGGGATTACACAAGTGTGCAAGCATGCCTAGATACACTGATATATTTTTCCATGTTACTTTCACATTTTGTGTGTGTGTGTGTGTGCGCGCGCGCGCACGCACACACACGCTTGCCATGGTATACATGTGGTCAGAGGGCAACCAACTCCTACTGGAGTTGGTTTTCTCCTCCACTACATGAGTCCTGGAGTTGGAACTCAGATTATCAGGTTTGGAGACAAGCACCTTTACCTGTTGAGTTATCTTGTCAAACCTGGTGTGTGTGTGTGTGTGTGTGTGTGTGTGTGTGTGTGTGTATGTGTTGGTAGCAGGTCACTGTGTGAAACAGCCCCTACTGGCATAGCTTGAGACAGTGTATAGTGACTGACTGAAGACAATTATATAAATAAATTATCTTTTGGTAAGGTGGGAATCTAATTTTTGGGCTCACACATGCTAAGCAAACATTCTGGTAACTGAGCTTTATCTCTTGCCCATTGGTTTTTATATAACAACTTGACAAGGTTAACTGTCTTAGCCTTAGAGAAAAAAACATAGAATGTAAACATTGGCAATTAAATAAAAAATTAGACTCAGTGTTCAGTCTATCCTCTCCTCAAGAGCAGTCAAGCATGCTTGCTTTCCTCATTCTCAACACAGACGCACACACACACACACACACACACACACACACATACACACACACAGGTCACCACAACCCACTGCATGCTGTCAGTCCTGTCTGGCTCAGATAACAGAGAGGTAGACCACCAGACCTCCTGGGAACACCTACCTTCTAGGCTCCATCCACATCCATTTTGACTGCTACTCTGACCAAAATATGGCCCCTTGGGATGCTGAAAGCTGTCGTTCTACCACAACAGTGTCTTCATACTACATAGTGTGCCAAGTCCTCTTCCAAGGCCTGGCTCAGGGATGGTGCAACGGTTCATCTGATGGCTGGTTTTTTTTTTTTTTTTATGTCAACTCAACACAAGCTAGAGTCATCTGAGAAGAGGAAACCATAAGATCTGGCTGTAAGCAAGCTTATAAGGCATTTTCTTAATTAAGGGTTCAGTCTATTGTGGGTGGAGCCACCTATGGGCTGGTGGTCCAGGGTTATATGAGAAAGCAGGTTGAGCAAGTCACAAGGAGCAAGCCAGTAAGCAGCACCCCTCCATGGCCTCTGCTTCTTTTTCTGCCTCCAGATTCCCATTCTTCCTGAGTTCCTGCCTTGACTTCCCTCAGTGGACTGTGATTGATGATCTGTAAGCCAAATAAACCCTTTCATCCCCAAACTGATTTTGGTCATAGTGTTTCATCACACCAATAGAAATTCAAAGTAAGACAGCTCAGCTGGTAGTGCAATTGCCTCATAAGCATTAGGACCTGAATTCAATCCCTGGAGCCCACGCAGGAAACTGCATACAGCAGCACCTTCTTGTAATCCCCAAAATGGCTGCAAGGGAGGCAGAGATGGGTGGATACCTGGAGCCCCATGGCCAGTTAGAATAGATTATGTAACAGAGATTTGGGCTAACAAGAGACCCTGTCTCAAGCACCAAGTGAAAACAGCTAAAGAATGACACCTGGGGCTATCCTCTGATCTTCTTATGTGTGCACATGAGCACACAAATACAGGAATAGAAAGACAACCTACCTTTCACTATTAGATCCCAAGTCTTTCTAGTCTGTGTCTCTGCTTTGAATTTTAGGAGTATGGAGTCATAGACAAAACAAGTATATTACTAGTGGAGATTCTCCAAAGGAATAGAATCCATGCACACATATGTACATATTAATACATGTGTGTGTGCAACGTGTGCACGTGCATAATTTGGGAGTGAAAGAAAATACATGAAGATTGGTAGTTCACATGATTATAAAGGCCCACAAGTCCCACGGTCTTCAGCTGGCAAGTTGGAAAGCCAGGACAGCAGCTGGTGTGAATCCTATCCTTGTCTAAAGGTATGAAACACAGAGAGCCAACACTGTTAGCCCAAAGCTAGCAAGCACAAGACCCAGGAGAAGCTAACATCTGAGTCCAGTCAGGTAGGTCAGTGTCGAGGTCAAGGCAGTCAGGCAACAGGACAAGTCTGCACCTGTTGTTCAATTCCATTCAGTCCTTTGTCTGATTGAATGAGGCCCATCCACACTAAGAACCAGAGAGTTGGACAGAGCAGCTGAGTTCTTAGTGTTCTCAATTCTAGATTACAGTCCAGTCCATCAGAGTAGGGAATGCATCAGCTTGAAAACACTGGTCATGTGACACCTGTAGTCAAGAGCAGAGAGCAATAAGTGAAGGCATGAATGCCAGAGCTCAGTTTATTACTTCACTTCCTCCATCTTTGTATAATTGTGTATAACCAACCCAGAGAGATGGCTCCATCCACAGCAAGTGGGTCTTCTCACATCAATTAACATAATTAAGAAAATCCTTCATAGACATTCTCAGAGGCCAACTCACAAGTGAGTCTAGATTTGTCAGGCTGACAGTTAATACAAGCGATCATAGCCTCCTTCCCAACCTAGACAGTGCCTATGCATGGCACATGATTAGGGACGCCATTGCTCAACCTCCATCAGCAAGTGTCCCAAATCTGGACCCTCCAGCACCATCCACAAAGACAAATATGCCATATCCAGGGCTGAGCCAATGATAATCATCATTTTAGCCTGCTGGTGGCCCCTTTCCCCACAATGCTCTTAATGCAGCATAAGCACTGCTTAGAGGCAGACAAAAATAGCTTTGGATCAAAGAGGTAGTTTCCTCATTCTGTCTCTGAAGACAGATCAGTGGGCTGGGCGCATGTGGGCAAATCCGTTTTTCCCCCTTCTTGGCAGGAGCTTCCACATATTCTTTCCATGAGCACAGAAAAGCCTGCCAATGTTGATATCCGAGGCTGAGATCATAGGCTCCACTTTAGCTGGGAGTCAACCCACTCCAAGCCAGCTAGGTCTGGGCTCGCTTTTTTCAGACAGACGAGCTAAGCCGAGGTTGCGGCAGCAGCAGCAACTGCTGCTGCAGAAAAGTCCATCTGTTGAGATCAATACCGGTGACTAATGGCAGGGACCTCCGCCATCAGCCCTGTGGCCTGCAACTCAGCAGATCGTAGCACCACCTTCATTCTCTAAGTGGGGAAACCATGGCTGGCAGGGACCTTTTCACTTTACCAGGAATGAGTGCACAGGTATAAGCCTAGCCACCCTGTCTTGGTCAGGATTCTATTGCTGAAAAGAAGCACCATGACCATGTAACTCTCTCTCTCTTTTCTTTCTAAATATTTATTTATTTATTATATATAGAATATTCTTTCTGTGTGTATGCCCACAGGCCAGAAGAGGGCACCAGACCCATTATAGATGGTTGTAAGCCACCATGTGGTTGCTGGGAATTGAACTCAGGACCTTTGGAAGAGCAGACAATGCTCTTAACCTCTGAGCCATCTCTCCAGCCCGACTATGTAACTCTTACTAAGGAGATCATTTAATTGGGGCTGGCTTACAGTTTCAGAGGTTTAGCTCACCATCGTCATGGCAGCGTGCAGGCAGACTTGGTGCAGGAGGAGAAGCTGAGAGTTCTACATTCATACCCACAGGCAGCAGGAAGAGAGAGACTCTGGGGGCTGGCTTGGACTTTTGAAACCCCAAAGCCCACCCTGATATGACACACTTCCTCCAACAAGGTCACATCTGCTCTGATGTGGGATTCCCCTCTGTATACTGTGAATATGTTTTACTACCATTGGTTAATAAAGAAGCTGCTTTGGCCTATGGCAGGACAGCATATAGTTAGGCAGGATATCCAAACAAAGATAGAGGGAAGAAGAAGGCAGAGTCAGGGAGATGCCTTGTAGCTGCCGAAGGAGTAGGATGCTAGAACCTTATCAGTAAGTCACAGCCTTGTGGTGATGCACAGATTAATAGAAGTAGGTTAACTTAAGATGTAAGAGCTAGCTAGGAATACGCTTGAGCCATTGGCCAAACAGTCTTTTAATTAAAACAGTTTCTGTGTGATTATTTGGGTTTGGGTGGCCAGGAAACAAACACAGTCTCCATTTACAAGGCTACACCTCCTAATCCCTCTGAAGCAGCACCTTTCCCCAATGACCAAACATTCGAATATATGAGGCTATGGGTCCATTCCTGTTCAAACCATAGCATACCTCCAGAAGCTTGAAGTCTTTCTTCAGCAGCCTGAGGTCTTTTAGGAGTACAAATCTCACATCAAATAGCTTGAGTTGACACCTATCTTGGTCATTACAAGATTACAAGTGTATTGACCTCTAGCTTCTACCCACAGGCATGGGTGTAGTAGAGTCTAGGGATGCAGGCCATGTCCCCAGAGGGTAGATTGCCCACCCGACTCCACCAGAAGAGCTGAACACTGGACCCTTGCTCCTTCCTCTGTAGGCTAGCACTGCTGCCCCCACCCCAGGGACTGAGCTGAGACGTTGCTGGTGTTGCCTCCAATGACTGTATCCAGCATCCTGTAGTTTGTGCTACTGTCACCACAAATGCCAATGAGCAGAGACAAGCACTAGATCTTCACATCGGGCTCTGTTCAGAAAGCTAGCCATCAGAGAAGTCAGTGCATCAACACCTTTTTGAAAATGCCTCACCTCTCTCTCTTCCAGCCACCATATTATATGGAGTTACAGGGATGGAGGCATTCAATCACTCCACAGCTCAGGATGGCCCTTCTGGTTAGGTCATATGATGGTTTGTGTTCATTCTCACCACAACAGAACCTGGAATCACCGGGGAAGAGGGTCTCAGGTTACTGTCTAGATGAGGTTGGGTCCTGGGCATACCCTCAGGGAGGTTTTACTGTGTGTGCATGTGCATGTGTATGTGCACATGAGTGTATTGTATTTCCCGTGTGTGGAGGTCAGAGTACAACTCATAGGAGTCAGTTCTCGCCTTTGTTCTGGGCCCAGGGAATGGAGCACAGATTACCAGATTTGTCAGCAAGGACCTTGAGCCAGTGAGCCATATTGCTCACTGCCCCCTTTAAAACAAAATAATAATAATAATAATTTATCAAAAGTTATCTTGCACACGTCAATTGAGATGGGAAGATCTGCCCATTGTGAATGGCATCATTCCATAAGCACAGAAACCCGTAAATGGAGAGAGGGAGCTGAAGGCATGCAGAAGGCATGCAGGTACTGACCACTTCCTATTCCTATTTATAGATATATTATGGGACACACGGATGGGACCAGATTCCTCTAGCTCCCCAATATGATAGACTATAACCCAGAACTATGAGCCAAAAACAAAGCTTTTCTCCCTGAAATTGCTTCCGTCTGCATATTTTATCACAGCAACAAGAAAAGATGCTAAACCGTGTAGACAGCCACATACCAGAGTCTTGTCTCTCCCTCACTATCACCTCTCGAACTTTCCCCTTGTTCTCTGGATGTCTGGGCTTGGTCACTTCTTGAAACACTGAGTCTAGCTAACATCTGCTGGTGTCTACCTTGCATTCCTCCAGAGCATCTATGCTGCCAGGAATTGGCTTTTTAAATCTAGGTTCTGAGTATTAAACTGCGGTCCACATGTTTGTGCAGCCAACACTTTTCCCAGGAAGCCATCTCCTCAGACCAAGGACCACAGTTCTAGATTCTACATATGAGTGATACGGCTTCAGAGGCCCTGCTTTGACATTCATCTTCCTCTACCCAGAAACATTCATTTTCTGAGGGAGAACCACACTGGCTCCATGCCAGGTCATAGCATGACAGTGTAGTTCAACTTTCTTTGGGGAACCACTGGCTCCCAAATTATGACAAGGAGACTTATTATTAACTATGAAAGCTTGGCCTTGAAACTCAGCAGGCTCTCCTGGCAGTTTCTCTTGCCTCCTGGCAGTTTGAGGACCCCCAGAACCCTGTAACTTTCCAGCTGGTTGCTTTTCCAGCTAAGGATCACTGGAACTCTACCCAACACCGGCAGAATTAGCAGTAACGGCCCCTTCCCTCCCTGACATCTCGCTGTTGTGTTTCCATGACCGAGGATTCCTCTCTGCATTCCAGCTTTGCTTGAAAGAGCTAGAAAGAACCAGTACTGGGCAACCATGATCTTGGGTTGCATATGGTTTGAAACATATAAGGTGCATTGCAACACATGCGCAGGCAACATATTTGTTAAAGACAATCATGTGATGGCCACCATTTTGTTTAAGATTAAAGGAGATCCTTCACCGCCATCTTTACTAAGGGGAAGAAGGGCAGGTCAGGTGACCTAGTCACCATCTTTACTAAGTGTACTCTGCCTCACCTCGCCTTTTACTTACGTTTTTGCCTCTAAATCCTCTTACTGACCCTGTTGCGTGTGCGTGCTTGCACAGTGATGTGCTTTTTGGCAGGGCCCGCCGAAGAACCCACTTCTCGCAGCATGTCTTTTCTCTTCCAACTACAATGAATGCTTTCTCATTCACTGGCGGCTTTGATTCTCCACTCTTTACTTTGCTCTAAAGACCTGTGTGTGTCTGTCTACTCTCTCTTTCTTTAAATGTCCTGTCTGCCTGTTACAAAGTGCAAGTCAGAGATGGAAAAGTCAGCTTCCTCTTGCTCAGTATTCATGGGACTTTTGATTTAACTTTATGTGTGACTATAAGCTAGCTTTAACTCTACATATGTGTGTATGCAGCTTAAATTCAATTATGCATTTATGTTCATGTAATTATTGTTTAAAAAGCTATTTTAAACAGTTCTAATGAGCTATGTTCATTGTACTTCCTTCTAGACTAAGAAAACAATCCCCAAATACTTTAAACTGGTATGTACTTTTAAATGATGATTGAAAATATATGGCTAGATCTGTAACAACCTACTGTATATGTGATATAACTCTATGTTAAAATATATTCTATATATTCATAAAAATTAAATGTTATAAAGATCTATTTCAGATTAACAAAAGCCAAGTACTCATGTCTTTGCCAAGGGTTCAACACCAAGCTTCTAGAGAATTTAAATAAGTAACAACATATGTTTAATACCCATGAAATGGTTATCTGGATTTCTTTCCTAAGCTCATTAAAAGGTTTTATTTTGACACTAATCCTTTAGCTTCAATTCAAAATCATTGTTTTTAAGGCTAAACCTGACAGGAATGTAATGTAAAGTCCTAACCTCATGGAAGTTGCCAACCTATTGTAGACTGTTGAGGACTGCAAGTTAAGAGTCATCTTATAAATGACCATGCTGGGTACTGATGCAATTAATTCCAGGGATAAAGCCTTTACTGGCCACCTGTGTGCTTAAGACAAGTAACTAAAGACAAAGTTTGTCTGCCTATATACACCCAAGAGACAGCCCTCATATGCTCAGAGATACAGAAAATATGCCATTTAAAATGTTTATTTAAAAGACTTTTCATAACAGAGAGACCAATTAGCTCCTGGCACCACCCCCATTTCCTCCAAAAAAAAAGATGAATGGGAACAGAAGGATGTCACCCAGAACTCACTTCACAAGTGGCAGCGCTAGCCACTGACCAAACCTGCCTCTCACCTCAGCTGCTGCAAAGACCCTCTTCAGACCGTGGACAACAGGACACTGGGGAACCAACTGCCTGAGTTGCCAAAGACAAAGGTAAAATCCTCCCATGGGTCCTTACTCCACAGAAGCCTGTGGGATCTTCTGGGACCTTGCAGTCCTACCTCTGCCAGCCAAAAGATGAACGCTGCCCTAAGACCTGCCCTCAATGACCATGGAGAACCCTGGGGTGGCTGTCTAGGTAGCCATCAAGTGAGTCTCTGTCATTTTTTAATCATAACTCCAGTAGGAGTTATCATTCTCAAGAATTCTAATGCAGTTTGACAGCCGGCAGGTTTGCCAATTTAAAAGGGACAAACTCACAAAACATATGTCAGCATAACTTCTTACCATTCCTGTGTTTAAAGAAAAGGTGTTTTAAGATACACAGTTTCAGGGTAGAAGAAAGTGAATTAAGGTGGACAAATGTAAGTTACCAGGTTTCTCTCTCCTTAAGCTACTGTTCATAGTCTTAACATTAATCAATAAAGCTCTAATATGCTACTAATCCAACTCTGACGGAGTACTAAACACCATACTGTACCACTATCATCAGAGCCACAAGCTGAAAATTTTAAATTCCCTTTGGTGGTTTCCTAACTATGGGCCCCAAAGATATTTTTTCATTGTGCAAAAACATCTGTCACAGTCATTTCTGGCATGAAAATACTGCTGTTTCCACAATGTAAATTTCAATACAGACTATAAACAGTGGTAATGTTAATGTGTCTAAAACTTACATTTTCACAGACTCCAAAAATTCTTGTAAGTTGCAGGCAGCCGACTTGGAGGATTCACCTCAAACAGGTCAGATGCACCGCTCACTCAGTTATTGGGCCCTAAGAGCAGAAGCCTCTTCACCTTTTCCTGATCTTGACACCCACCTTCCTCAATTGCCAAGACCTAAGGGAAAAAAATTCTTAACTTTGTCCTCTGCTCTGCCAACATTTTACCAGGCCAAGAGGTTCCAGAGAGTTCCATAGATCCTGGACAGTGAAGTGAAATAACAAGCTGCCCTACTATGTGGCTAGCATCCCAGCTTTCTCAGGTCTCCCCAAAAATGCTTACTACCCTCCAGGTCAGAAAGAAGCGGTCTTGAGAACTCAATGCCCTCATTCCCTTAACCTACCATGCCCTATTCTGCACCTATTTAATCTTTAAAAACTGAGAGATGTTAGCATCTAAGCACACCTTGGCCTGCACTTTGGGAACCTGGCACAGTGTGTCACTCCTCTGCCCATGACAAGCAGGACCTTGACTCTATGCAGGTGCAAAGGTCCCTTTAAGAGACAAGCTCCGCCCACTCCTCCTTTCTTCTTTCTGCCATTTCTTTAAGGAGGCAGCTCTCTCTCTCTCTCTCTCTCTCTCTCTCTCTCTCTCTCTCTCTTTCTCTCTCTCCCTACCCACCTTGCCTCTAATAAACCTTCCTATGTCTGTTGGCATGTTTGTCCCCCACCATGGGATCCTCATGCCATATTCATAACACTATTAATCTCATTTTGCCACACGGCTTGGTTACCTCTCCTCTGAACCTTGTGTCCAACTTCTCCAGTGTCTCATGGGCATCTCCCCTCTCTTTCTCCCAGAGTCCGCTCTCTCCCTGGAAGTCCTGTCTATTCTCTCCTGCCTAGCTGTTGGCCATTCAACTCTTTATTAAGCCAGTCACAATGGCACATTTTCATACAGTGTAAACAAATATTCTGCAACATTTTCCCCTTTAGTCCAAATAAAAAGGAAAGATTTTAACTATAGCACAGCAAAACTATATACAATAAGAACAATTATCAGGTAAGAATTACATTCAAAATGTCTAGTCCATTTGCATTTGGCAAATTTGGAGACGCTCTTCTATTATCTATCCTATCTTAGTGAGTCTAAAGTCTAAACTACTTCCTATGAAAACTTGTATTATCATCCTAAAAATATCTTTTTAGACATTAAAACATTTTCTTAGATAAACAAGTTACTTTTATGTCTCCTAACCTTATAAACTTAACAACTCTTTTGCAAGTTTCTTTTCTGAATTTGGTAACAAAGAAAACAGTATAGCTGTCTAGTCTTCAACCCCATCAGAGACCCAACAAGGGTATAATAATCACAACAAGAGAGTGCAGAGAAAACAACTCCCAAAACTATAGAAACAACAGAGATATCTGTTGGACGGTCACCCAAGTTTTCTCTGCACGTTGAGGGATCTGTCTTCA